CCAAAATGGAATAGAACATTCCATGGAATACGAACGCATTCCAAAATGGAATAGAACGCTCCATGAAATACGGACGGAATGTTCCAAAATGTGTCCTTGTGCTGTGGCAAACGATGGGATGGCACGTTTTGGAATACAACGGGGTTCACTGACTTATGTAATTATGTTCCCAAGGCGATATTATAACGCTGTAGACTGCTATGTGAAAGGCTTTGAGTCAATGTCTCAAGTGCTGGGACTGCTCTTGATATGCAAGATGTCCAACTAGTAATGCAAAGAAACTCCAAAAAAGGATTAGACATTTCTATTCTAAGCAATATACAATGCATACTACAACTACAGAAGACATTCTGTGGAGAAATAGCAGTAATATATGGACATTAACTCTGCTCAGTAACCGGCGGAAGTATGTTGGAGTAGAGGTAGGATACTGCATGTCCAAACCAGCTCCAATGGATGCAATACTTTGTCCAATTTACAGCATAATGTATCTATAATATATATCCCTCTGTTATACTGCATGGCGTTGAAGGATTACAATAATTATGTTAACAACAGCCAAGCTATAAACAATATGCTCCCAATTAAAAATGCATTAAAACAGTTGTATTAAAACAGTTGCATTTTCCCTGACATGTCGTCTCTTTCTCCTTTTGTGTGTCCCAACTTTCCTTCGCTACTTCACCCAACAAACACCCTGCAAACACCCCCCCCCTTTTGTCTCAACCCGGTTGGTTGGTCGGCTCGATCACGTACAAGGCACGTGATTTTGACGTGACTGTCACGTGGAAACACTTGGTTTCGAGCATGACACCTTCGTGCTGGACACGTGTTCATGACCTTGAACTTGGAATTTGAATTTAAAACAATGTATTCCATGTGATAATCATGTCAGCATCACGACTTTGTATGTAGTTAGGCAGGCCATTGTACGGCGCTTGTCAACTAATATACAATATATGACTATGAAGGTTACATGTAGATATCCAGGCAATACAAGATACACCAGGAAATGGATATATTACGAAACTGTTAAGCGTTTCCACTACTTGAAATGAAAAATGGCAACTGATGAAAAGTAGTGTATGCTACTTCAAACCTCTGAAAGTTTAGTTTTCACGAAAGGAAAGCCCTACGAAAAGGCTAAACTCGTGTCTAATGGCAACTTGGCCCTGTCCTTGGTGCTGAAATTCAGACCTGTACTTGTGTTCGGTACGGACTTTCGTGAGGTCTCATACAACTACGAAAACACAAATGAAAATACATATGAACTCAGTGGACGCACAAACTTTACTACAAAGCATGTCTAAGAACGTGTGAGGTCTAACCAGCGTTTACATACACAACAGTTCAAACATCTAAACATTCTTTGATTTATTTATCTATATGGACATCTGACATATACATGGCCATATCAATCTGAATGATAGCTAGAGTAAAGCTGAACTCATAATCCTCTTATGGTTTTGTTGATCTGTACAAAGGTACAGACAATGTCAGATAGTCAATGCTTCAATGCCAACTACACAGTCAACAGATAGACGAAACTACATCTGCAATGCCGTTCTCATTCAACAGGAGGCGTTGCTTAACGAATGATACTGTAGTTGATTGTGACATAGGTTCAAAATTGGCCCGTATGGCATATTTTATAGTCAAAGAACCAACGTCACATCATATATTGACAAAGATACAGTGGGTGTATATGTATCTTGTCAGTGATGTCTAAACCAAAACTTTCGCCGCCCCAACCACTGTAAAACAAAGGTGTCCCACAGATATCAACCACAGGAGATTTTTGACAGATGCAAAGCAAGCAAATGCATAATGTTTACCTTCGCATAATCTGCTCTGTTAATTCTTACTCAAACACATTCATATATATTTATGGTCAGATAGGAGTCTAAATCCATCTTGCTATAAAATTGCAACATGATGTAACCACCATGGTGATAGACTGTCTGGCCTAGGTCATTGACCTTTTGTGTTTGGAGAAGAGGAAACTGAGCAAAAACCTTCGGTAAACATAAATATCTTAAAATTAACCCCATTTTGTTGCAGACGACCGTCGGAACCCATATTTAATCATATATTGACGAATAACGACAAAGATACAGTGGGAATATATACGCATACGTTTGTTTCCACGGTGCTAAAAGATACAACTGGCAAATATCTTAAATTAACCCCATTTGTTGCAGGCGAGCGTCAGCCGGTGAGGCGGACGTGGAGTACGTGAAGCGGCGAGAGTACGAGTTCGAGTTGGCCGACGGCGCCCCCGGAGGAGCAAGCCCATCCTTGGACGACGAAGAAGCCGAACGTCAACGTCTCGGGCTCTCTCCGGAAGACTGGGAGCTCCACAAGCGGGCGGCGTCCGCCCCACGGCCGGGGCCTTACAGAGGACGTCCCCGCGGAAGGGCCAGCGTCGACGTCGGGGATCTCTCACGCAAACGCTACCACGCCTCCTCCCACTCTTACGTACCGCGGAAGCAGAAGTCGCGAGGGGCGCACTTGGACGAGTACTATAACCAATCCCTGTGGTACAAGCGGATAAGGCAGTACTACAACGCGCTGTACAGCCCAGGAAAGTACGACCTCGTCTACAAAGTCGGCGACGAGACCCGCTCTCACCTTCACGACGGGTCTTACGACGATTTTTACCTGCACCCCGTCCGGGACCAGGACCTGAGCACATGGTATGACCAGAAGGGGGCTGGCCAGGCCGGCTCCTCAGAGACAAACCCGCTAACAGAGCACTACGCGTCCATGAACCACCACCACGTG